TAAGTGAGGTCCGGTTTCTTGTGACGTAAGTTTGGAGCCGATGACGCGCTTTTGGAACCGCAGAGAGCTTACGAAGGGGAGGAGGTACGAAACAGTCCTCTGTGTTTTCAAATTTTCGCACTGAAAGCCAGGCTTTTGACTTCCTACCTTTTTTCTTTTGGCCCACTGAACGATGTGCTATTTGTAAAATCCCAATCTAAAATGATTTATCCCAACCCAAAAATCGTTTCATGGGCCCTTTAAAATTCGTCAGCTTTGTAAAAAATAAAATGTCCTCTTTTGTAATATTTGTTAAGCTTAATGGGTATATTGCTCCCAAATTAATAATCGCGGGTCAGTGTTTTTTGTGGCTTACTCTCTAGGCAACGAAAGCCTAACTAAAATGTTTGTGAACTTGAAGAACAGGAAAAAGTTAAAAAAAGGTAATGTTGACTGCCTAAAACCTAAAAATCAAAGGTGTAAATGCCGAAAATTCAAAAGTGCACGCGCAACACCGCGGTGCCTGAAATTCTCTTTGAAGCTTTTGTTAACATTTGAAAACAGGATAAAACAGTCAATAGGATATCGAGGCTTCTTTCTTCCACGGACATGCACGTTTTCTAGCCGTTCGTGCTGGTGTTTCCACAAGTTTCCTTTGTGTGATAGTGCCCTTCTACGGTGAGCCACTCATGACCTTCAGAGCGGCACGCTGTCACCGTTGTTACCCGCGACCTATATACGAAGTAGTCTTCTGTAAGGTAGCGAAGTGGGTGAGTTGGTAAACGTTATGCATGATGAAAACTGCTCAAACGACGACGACGGAGTGAAGACAACAAACAAGACAGGACGAACCTGTTCTCGCAACTAAAGTTTTGTTAGTGAAATTAACATAAAGAATACAGCGTAGCCGACACTGATTACATTAACAAACATCTACTTATCTATTAGGCACTACACAATATTTGGCCCTCAAGCGATTCACACACCGCTATTCATATTAGCTCGCAAAAAAACAAACCTCTTTATCTGACAGAGCTACCGACGGCGCACCCTCAGCTGTCAATAAATTGTTGCCTTTTTTACCGGTGTACGATGTTCTGACTTTATACTTGCGGCTTCATTCATATAAAGAATGGGCGATTTCTAATTTCTGAGGAATTAGTAAATATGCCCAATGAACCTCAAGAATATTACAAAAACGAGGAGACATTTTAATGAAGTGACGAATGCGAATTGTGTTAAATTTCCACGTTTTACGCAGAATCAAGCTAAGCTAAAAAAATATTGGTGAGCTTTTCTCCGCATTTGCCGGTTTTGCGGTGAGCTTTTCTCCGGTGAGCTTTTCTCCGGTGAGCTTTTCTCCGCCGCCCGACGACTTGACTGTGACGAGTGGGCCTGTTCCCGAAGAAGTGTACCATGCTTCGTTTTGGCTTAGGTTAGCCACAATCGACACTACGTGGCAATATAGGACCAATAAAGTAGCGTCAAAAGTGCGATGTACTAGGCAATTGTTTTGCTTATTATTGGTTCAGCAATGATATAACACGTACAGAGACACGAGAAACGTACCACGATGGTAGGCTTTTGACGTTGTCTGATATGTCCCAACAGCTTGTAGCGTCGGCTGCGCCTGGACTGAAGCTGAAACAAAGTATCAAACAGGGTTTTCAGTAAGCTGTTTTTCCTGTTCCGTCCGTTTTTCTTTTTTGTAAGTTTAAGTTTATTTTTTACTGGACACTAAAATATTCTTGGGAGGAGTCGGGCCGCTGCGATGACCACTTAGGCATCGTGAATGTGAAAGTGAGAAAGGTGTCGTGAAAATCGCCTTACCTAAAATTTGCAATTTTTGTCGTAGTTTTTTATTATTTGAGATTGCAGGAGTCGAAATTTGAAAAATCAGTTGTAATAAAAAAAAAACTGCTCCGACTTTACCCAACAAGATTAACAATTTAATCAAACGTTTCGTCTCCCATGCGGGAAACATCATCAGTGAAACCTTCAAGCAGGAATGAGGGAAAAAACTTCAACAGTCCTATTTAAGCAAGTCCGTGTACACATCGGGGAGGGGGCCGCGGTTGGAGTTGCAATCTGATGAGTCACTTCGGATGAACCATGATTCCACGAACCTGCGTGAACACCACCTTTGTTCGCGCGCCAGAGTGGACTCATTCTCAAAGTCGAAACAGTGACCCGTATTCCAACAATGGACTACGAGTTCCGTCTTCGCTCTTGTCGCATGCGTGGCCTTCGCCACGTCCCTTTTGTGTTCGTTTAAGCGAGTGCAGCGCTTCCGGCCTGTCTCCCCAATGTAGGATGCGTCTCAGTTTAGACAGTTCACTTTATACACAACACCGCACTGGGACTCTGGGGGGGGTGTAATCTTTAGGTTTAGAAATGAGGTCACGTAGTTTACGGTGGGGTTCGAAAGCTGTGCGGATATTCAAAGGGGCTAGGGCCCTGCGAATGAACTCAGAAACACCTCTCAAATAGGGTATTGTTACTTGCCCTGTCCTAAGTCGTCCATTATCCTGACTTCTTCTTTGCCCCATCTGTTTGCGCGTGTTATCAATAAAACGTTTCGGATAATTCCGCTTCATCAACAGGTCAACAATAACAGCATCCTCAGAAGCGCGTAATTGAGGATTAGAAGAAATGCGTTCGGACCGATGTAGTAAGGCATAAGTCTGCGCACGTGGTGTCCGTAGCGTAGACGAAACTCCGAGAGACAATAATCACAATCGGTGAGACGACGACGGCGGTTGTGACGCGGAAGATGGCGGTAACGGCGGGACCACGGCGGGCGGCCTGACGGCTCCCAAGAAACGCGCTGCGCAGGCGCGTTACACCAGTCACGTGGACACCGCTGAGCGCCTAGAGGCAACGTTGCTGACGTCATGCGCTACGCTCGCCCGGAGAAGTGAAAACAAGCAAAAGGGGGCCATGTAGATGGCGTTTAGCTCAATGTTGGCTCCGCCCATGCCGTCGCCTTGACTGCGCTGTTGGTTGCGCCTGAATTCGCCTGCTCAAGTCAGCCGATTTCAGCAACTTGGCGAGTTGCAAAGTTTGCCGGACCGTTTAAGAATCATTTAGACAGAACTGCGTCGTAACATTTCACGTGTGGTCTTCCTAGGCGATACTGAAGAGGACTGCATTGTTTTTTCAAAACCAAAAATGAAGCGGAGTTGTCCTTTGAATAGGACTGTTGAAGTTTTTTCCCTCATTCCTGCTTGAAGGTTTCACTGACGATGTTCCCCGCATGGGAGACGAAACGTTTGATTAAATTGTTAATCTTGTTGGGTAAAGTCGGAGCAGTTTTTTTTTATCATTACGATTCCCGGCTTTTGGAATATTTTTTGAAATCAGTTGTATGCCACAGTAATGTTCGTCTTGATATTAATCTCCCATAATACTTTCTGACCAATCGGGAATTGGTGGCCGAGTGTGTTAACGCATCGCAGCTCGAAACAACTCAAGCGAAAGCTCGCGCTGGAGAACCGAGAAACCCACCGCTCAAACCACACCCCTTCTTTTGTGTTGACCTATGTAAGCGTCATACCGGCGTGCGGTTGTGTATCCTTACACTATAACAAAAAAAGGGAATGGTCTTGCACCCCTTGTCCCATATATTGCACTCCAAAACTTCAGTTCGACTTATACAGCGCACTTGCGTCACACCGATGGTACCAACTTTCACGAGTGGCTTGATACCTGAGCGTTACAACTTATTAAAATAGCTAATGTGCGTGTTACTGACTGCAACAAAAAAAAAATTCTCGGATTTCTTTTTTTATTGAAGAACGTCACTATTTTTCCCCTGTAGTCCTCGGTGCGTACTTTAGATGTTTAATCAGAGATATCGTACCGTTATCAGGTCCCTAGTAAACGTTCATGCCGTCAGTTTGACGTCAGTGCGTTGCAAGTCAAATTGAGGTTTTGGTGTGTATTATATGAAAAAGAAGACCGTAAGACTACACCCTTTCTATAGTGCTCTTTGTGATATACGTTAAAGACCCCAGGCTATTATAGTCGGTTACAAGTCAAGGAGGTAGGAGAAGCTCCTCCCCCATAAGCGTGATGCGCCCGTTCCAACTCTCTCCGCAGTCGAAAGAAGAATTCACTAGAAACGCTCCTTGTTCCGCTTCAATGGATTCCAACTTGTCTCCGATCCCACTTTTTAAGAAAGCGACCTCTGTATTCATCAGAGAGGAAACCGAGCCCCTGAAAGCAGCCTTTATATCCATCGGGGGGGGGGGGGGGGGGGGGGGGGGGGGGAAGCTAATCCCCGAGAGTCGTATTTGTTTCCGTCGGTGGGGGAAAACACTAATCTCCCTCTCGTGGCTTCCACAATGCTCAGTCAAAGTCGAAAGATAAAGCAAATATGTAAAGAAAGGCAAGACCCTCCTCGCGCGTTGGCCGCGACGTCACGGAAACGGTGGGACGCTATTGGATGCGGACGTAGGGGAGGGATATCTGATTCCCTTTGAGGGGCATTTGCCGCTACCTTCTGAGCCTGTAACTGACTATAGTCATATTACACTGACAAATTTTGTGTTCTAGAGCGGAGACACCAAACGACAATTAGGGCTGATTGACTCCCTGCTGTCTAAACATGAACGTAACACGTTAGGAAGCCGACGTTGATGGGTAGAATAGAATAAAAATATTTCTGTTTCAACTTTTTACAGAGCATTTAGATAGCTAATCACTGAGAACTATCAAGTAACTTCCACAAATAGCAATGGAGAAGAAGCGTTCGGTCATAATATATACCGTGTCAACAGTGTTAGTAAGCAAGCCGATAACTATGCTGAGTCGTTCACCTCAGAGTCTGCATTTCTAGACCTAAACGTTTCCTCCGCAACGGCAGTCGGCTAATTTTCCCCGTAGACCAGAGCGTTTAAATCAAAAATATATTATATCTACTTTTGCGGGTCAACCTAAACGACGCCATATATATAACTTGGCTTTTCAATTAAGAGTTCGAGCGGGTTTCGTCGTTTTATTGCATGTATGAATTACAGGACGAACTGCGAGGACGACTGCAAGCTGTATAACTGCTTGCTGAAGGTGAACAGCCTGGCAGGTAATGCCATGGGAACAATCTTCTTCGACACCCTTCGAACCGACTGCTTTGCATACGGTTACCCAGACAAATGCGTTAGCCGCAATTTGTACGTATCCATTTATTTATTTATTAAACAAACATCAAAGGCTTACTATACATTTCAATAATTGGAATTGCACATCCTCATAATATGCTTCGACATAAGCAAAGCTGCCACATATTTATACCTACTGGCCGATTGAATCCTGGCTGAGTGTATCGAAAAGAAGTAATATGGTTGAAAGTTGCGCTCCCTTTTGTTAACCAAAAAGAAGCGTTACGCAAGTTACACCCGGGGTCATTCTAAGCCAGAGACGAAACGACAAGGAAACAAACACACATTTGTGTAACGTTAACCAGCTCTCCAGCCTAATATATTTTGTGTTCTACCATTACGCTACGGTTGCATTATTCTTGCTAGAAGAGTAGCTTAGACAGACTTCCCCTTTGCCCCAATGTTAACAGCTGCGTTTGTTACATAAATGGGTTTTGACGGTCTCGACAGACGACCATGCATTTAGAAACATTGATGGTTCGGGCAACCTTCTTATTTCCGCGTAACACTTATTCCATGTGGCATAGTTCTGAAGCACTTGAAACGTTTGTGCTGTTCAGTGAGTGTTTAAATGAACGAATGTCCATGAATCGTAGCCTTTTTCATAAATGTGCCTGTTTCTTGGTACCATATTTTGTAATCATATCTGAATTACCTAGAGTCAGTGATTAAATTAGGCAACTAAGCAAGCTTTCGTGCACAAAGGTATATGGTTTGATAGAAGGGCATCTCAGATAATATGCTTAAGCTTATTCTATTACTAGATGCCTTATAATTGTAAAAGCTTGGTCTGCTGGGCAAGTTGGTAGTGGACATTCATATTAAAAGTAGCGCAAAAGAGACGGGACAAAAAGACGAAGAAGCACACAGGACAAACGCTAACTGGCAACTAAACTTTATTGAAAGCTTCCAACTTTGCTATCGCCATGCACGCGCTTAGTCTCGTTCAACAGAGACAGGGCGTACCGCCAAATCCGCACAATCATACCGCCCACCGCCTGTTCCAAAAAGTCAGCAAAACAGCTACATCACCCCGCCGCACAATCCGAACGAGAAAAGAATAGAAAAAACGCCGCGTTAATATTGTCAAGTTAGATAGTGTTAATGAAAAGTTTGTACCTTGTGCCACTGAGGTGGTTTACAGGATTCCTCTAACGTGTGGCCGTGTTTACATAGGGCAGACGGGACGTTGCTTAAATGATCGACTTCGAGAGCATGCGGCTTCTCTTGGCAACAATTACGGTTCCCACTTACCGGGGCATTGTAGAACTTGTGGTTGTTCCCCCAAGCTGGACGGTGCGAAGGTGGAGGGACGAAACAAAGGAAGGAGGGAACGAGAGTTGCTGGAGGCAGCGAAAATACGAGATTGTGACAAAGACGTTTGCATAAGCGTCGCATCGGTGTATATGCAGCAGAAAGAGTACCATTTCATTAACACTATCTAACTTGACAATATTAACGCGGCGTTTTTTCTATTCTTTTCTCGTTCGGATTGTGCGACGGGGTGATGTAGCTGTTTTGCTGACTTTTTCGAACAGGCGGTGGGCGGTATGATTGTGCGGATTTGGCGGTACGCCCTGTCTCTGTTGAACGAGACTAAGCGCGTGCACGGCGATTGCAAAGTTGGAAGCTTTCAATAAAGTTTAGTTGCCAGTTAGCGTTTGTCCTGTGTGCTTCTTCGTCTTTTTGTCCCGTCTCTTTTGCGCTATTTTTAATATGAATGCCTTATAATTGCATTAGCTGAGAAAAACAAACCCTACCACCACAATTTTATTTGGCTTTTTTTTTTCGTTCTCTTAAGTGTTATATTTTTCAAGTATAGAAGTTTAGAGCACCTGAACTAAAGCAAGAAAAATAACAGATGTAGAAGTCAAATTTGTTATAATTGTTCTATTCCATACTATGAAACCTATATTGGTCGTCTGTTTTAAGCAAATATAAAACAACAAATTCGAGTTGAAGCCACCTGCCAGGCGAGTTTATTTTCGCCTATAATCTATTTTTAACACAATTGGTGCATTCTGTATACAAGACTGAAGCCCCCCAGAGTGCTACTGAAAACCCCACGTATACGGTTGCGATGTTCAAAAGGAATGCCGGACCTCTGTTTTTTTTTTCCATATTGGTCATGTAGGCAGATAAAAGACATCTACAATGGTTTGTATAAACAATAGAGGGAATGCTTTACCTACCAGTAGATACACTTATCACGAACGCTGAGGCGACAGACGCAGCGATGTCGGAGCATAAACACCACGGCCTTTCTTTTTTTATTTGCTGATAACTTTGCTCTGCGCGTCGTCCCACAAACCGTGTCTGATTGGCTCGGGTTAATTTAAGATAAGATTGAAAGGCTTCTGGAACAAATTACAAATATATGTATACGTACATGACGTCTTACTTCACAATAAGGCTTCGTGCAAGCGTTGTGTTCTCGACATTTCCCCTCAATTTTAACTTTTTTATGGGTTCACGCTAATGTTAAGCCATTGCCAAAACTACTTACCGCCCTCGTGAAATATTTTGCATCCATACATATACGTCATATATAAATTTTTATTTAACATGCCAAACAACCATAGCTTTTTGTGTGTATTGGTATGCCTTATGTTCGCAGGATTTCCATTCCTTTGCTGGCCAAGTCTTGCAAGGAGTACGAACCGGACACCTCCAAGTCACGAAAGTGGCAGACTTACCCGCAACCCAGTTATTCGGGGGCGGACAACCCGAGAAATTGCTCGCAGTATAACTAGGCTGCGTAGTTTTGCAAGGACCATTTATATGCAGTCTAAAACTCTGAATCAGCACATTTTGGCAAGCCGAATTTTTATAACTCCCAAATACAAAGATGGGTTTGGCGGCGAGGATGCGTCGAACTCTTGGTGGAATACGTAGTGGATCGCCATCGTCCTCTGCCTTTGCACTGCGTGCAATCCGAGTTTAGAAATATATTGTCAAAGGCTCCTGCAGCATACTTAAGTGGGATTAATGGCCTGTAGGCTAGAAGAAAACACCACTACATAAATACATAACAAACATGTTAGAATGCGCCGACGCGTGTAAACTTTATTTTTGGCTAAATAAACAAAATAAAACAGAAGCAGTCACCTTTTAAGTATTAACGGATGATACGCCTGACCGCTGTTAATTAATATGCTAATGTTTTTTTAAGATGATTACACTTTGTTTCTACATACTCACCAAGTGTATAATATTATTGATTGCGTAGTTCATTTGTTCCTGTTTTATGAAAAAATAACGTCTCCTAATAGTGCTCGACGCGCCGCGCGCTGTAAGAGAACCTGATCTCCCGCTTTGCAGCAAAACATTATCGGACGTATAATGAGCTATTCGTAATTTGTCTAGATGCCCCTGTATAATTATTTCACAGCAACATCGAATCCACAATCTATTAAATTATTCAACTGATATGTTTAGTCTGGTAAGTATAAGTATATTATACTGCAATGTATGTTTTGATAGCACGGCATCCAAGAACGCGAAGCTCGACTCATAGCGTAAAATCTTTCGTTAATAAAAAAATAAGCTTTGATTCCTTCACATGTAGTTTAGAATTGTATTCAATAAGACAGAGGTTTTAATGTTTTCAAAAAAAATCTTTTAAATGGGCACTGTTTTTTTACACCTACTCAGGAGTCCATGCCTCAGCACAACGCCTTGGCGTACTTTTCTCCGAATGTTAAATGCTTCTACGTATCTGTGAATGTGCGGGGTGACAACGACCTGCAAACAGGTGGCCAAAAGGTGACTGGATGATCGCCTACAACTAACTCGCCTACGTGTCTGCAGTTTACATTTTAGTGATATCGTCAAATAAAAGTGGCACTGGCATTTTTTTCACTTTTTGATTTACTTATGTGGACAGCCTGGTGAAGCATATTCAAAAGTATTTCAAGTTCTCTACGAAAGTTACTATCTTCTAAAATTTATAGCGACTTGGAGGCACGGAACAAGCTTCTTCCAGTCACTCTCCGCGCAGCTTTTTTGTACATAAATTTCCGCACATGGACGGAATAAGGTTCAATTGAACTCAAAAATATATTTATTTTGCTCCTATCTGCCCATCGTTGGCGTAAAGAACTCTGAACTTAAAAGCCACCATCACACGCAGCCCAAGTAGCACAGAGTTGGTCAATCAGTGGCTAATGGCTGGCAATGGTCCTTTGGCCAGTAGCTGTATTGATTGTGAGTCCACACTGCTCGGTACCAGAAGAGAACTGACTCTCGTGCTTTATCTCATGAGCCCGCGCCAGGCTCCGAGCTGCTGCTCGAGCGCCCGCGCAACACCGATACATCTTCCGCTCTTTAAAGTAAAGAAATACAAACAAAATAAGTACGAAAATAACATAACATACAAAGAATGCGGATAGCATTAAATAAAAAATAAACACACAAAAGAAACTATGGAAACTGTTCAAATGTTTTGTCGTAGATTAGTCGACGTGGTGCGTGTCTGCTTCGTGATGATCTTCTCAGTGCTGGAGCCTCATCTGTCAAAGTTTCACCGGATGCTGGGGATGGATGTGTGGAACGATGGTCTGTATCTGGGTTACAGTGCGGTTGTGGAAGCTGTGGAGACTGCGAAGGGTGCGGAGGCAGCGAAGTCTGTGAAGGCTGCGGATTGTCGTGGGCGTCGGAGTGCTGCTGTGGTGAAGCGGCATCTTCATCCAGGCAATCATTGAGTGCCTCCGACGTTTTCAACAAATGACGGCGGTTTCTCCTGTAGATCCTGTTCCGCTCGGTTTGGACAGTGTAGGAGCGTGGCCCTGAACAATTTGTTACCCTATCTTTCTCAAACCAACCGCCTTTTCTACGCATGCGGACAACGTCACCGCTCTTCAGGTCCTTCAGCGACGTTCCAGGCTTGTTTTGTTGCCTCTTGCACACAGGTTTCCTCGGGTGCGATGAGAAATCAGGAAGTTGTGCTCGCAGTTTTCTTCCATACAGCAACTCTCCCGGAGACTGTCCTCCTATCAGAGGGGAACACCGATAGTTCAAGAGACCGAGAAAAAAATCCTCCCCTGCATCATCACATTTCTTTAAAATTCTAATTTGTACCCCTTTTTCAGCAAGACCATTGGATTGCGGAAAGTTGGGGCTTGATGTCACGTGATGGAAGTCATAAACCCTGGAAAACCGTTTAAACTCGGAAGATGAAAATTGTGGCCCATTGTCTGAGCAAACTTCTATTGGAATGCCGTGCCTTGCGAACCAGCCTGACAATGTCTGGATGATGGTTTGCGAACAGGTGTCCTGGAGTCTTTCAACCTCTGGGTAGTTTGAATACGCATCAAACGCAACTAAATAAGAGTAACCTCCATAGGCAAACAAGTCAATGCCAACACGATACCATGCGTAAGGAAGGGGCTCGCGCATCATTAGTGGTTCACGGGGTTGCTGATATGCAAACTTCTTACATGTCGCGCATTCCGCAACAAAGGTGTGAATGTCCTGCGCCATTTTGGGCCAAAACATGAGTTGGCGTCCCCTTTCTTTACATTTGTTTACACCTAATTGCCCTTGGTGAACCCGAGCTAACATAACTCGCCGAAGTGACGAAGGGATCACCACCCTCGTTCCTTTAAGAATGATTCCATTGACCACCGACAGTTCAGGGTCTAGTGAGCTGAAGTTGCCTTGCAGTGGGTACCCGTTTTCTAGACAGTGAAGGACGTGTTGTAACTCAGGGTCCCTCTGTGTTTCAGTTCTGAGTCTGTACTGTGTTGTCTCGCTCACAAGTGCGGCAAGCATTCCCACAGCTTGTACTTCAACATCCTCCAAGCCTTGCTTGTGTTGAGGACTAGGATGCCCAGCTCTTGACAAAGCGTCAGCTAGCACAAGCTTTCTGCCAGGTAGAAACTGTAGCGTGAAGTCGTACCTCATCAGCCTCAAAAAGAAACGTTGTAGGCGAGGGGGAACATCACCCAGTCTTTTTTTTTGATAAAGCGACCAACGGGCTGTGATCAGTCTCGAAAAGGATGTGTCTACCATATGTGAGGTGGTGAAACCTCTCACATCCAAATACCAGCCCAAGCGCCTCCTTCTCAATCTGAGAGTATCGTGATTCGCTGTCCGAGAGTGATTGGGAGGCATACGCTACAGGGCGCCACGACTTGTCGTACAGCTGCAATAAGGCCGCTCCGAGTCCATCTGTAGACGCGTCAGCCGACAGTTTTGTGGGTCTACTAGGGTCAAAAAGTGCGAGGACTGGAGCACTGGTCAGCATGAGTTTTAATTGCTTCCACTCACTGTTATGAGCCGCTGTCCACTCAAAAAGTACATCTTCGCGAAAAAGTTGTCTAAGATTTGCTGTACGTACGGATAATTTCTTTAATTATTTTCCAAAGTAATTTATAACGCCAAGCATGCGCTGGAGAGCTTTCTTGTTTGTGGGTGCATCCATCTTCACGATATTTTCTAAAAGACTCGGATCAGGCCTGATACCTTCTTTGCTCACTACATCCCCAAGGAAAATTACTTCTGGAATTCCAAACTGGCATTTCTCTGAGTTTAGCGTCAGGCCTGCGCTGTGTGCAGCTTGCAGAGCTGATCGCAGCCGATCATCGTGCTCCTGTTGCGTAGCTCCCCAGACCAGCACGTCATCAATGTAAATACGTACCCCCTTCAGTCCTTCAAAAATTCAGACATCGCACGCTGGAATACCTCTGGTGCAGAAGCCAATCCAAATGGCAACCTCAAAATCGGTATCGTCCAAAAGGGGTGCCGAATGTGCAAACTCGCGATGTTTCGTCAGTCAACGGGATTTGGTGAAAGCCTGCCCGAGCATCAAGCTTTGAAAACACTGTGGCGCTAGCAAGCTCAGCTTGTATATCTTCCCTTCTCGGCATTTCGAAATGCTCACGTCTCAGACACTCAATGATTCTTCGTGGGTCCATGCATACCCTTAAACTGCCGTTCTTCTTTTCCACCAAGACTAGGGGGCTTACCCAGTCTGAGGGCTCCTTCATTCTTGTGATAATTCCTGCCTGCTCCATGCGGTTCAGTTATTGCTTCAGCGGCTCCCTGAAGGCTTGAGGTACCCTACGGGTGGGTTGAACGACAGGCACTGTGCCTTCCTTAAAAAAGATGCTGTATGGACGTTGGATTTTCCCGATGCCTTCAAACAGTGCTGGAAATTCTCGCTGAACTTGGGATTGAGTATTCGTGGTGGTGGTGGCCTGGAGTTGGCGCTTCGGAAGAGTGACAGCGGGAGAAGATTGACTTGGGAGCCGGTGTCTACCTTGAACTGTACAGGGACCTTTTCAATCATTACCTTGATCAACCCGTCTTTCTCGGCGATTTTCCCGGACTCGCCGACCTGGAGTATCTCAAAGTTATCTTCTGACGGTATTTCTACTTCCTCCACTCGCCGACTGCTTTGCTCATCTTGAGGCTTTGCGTCACAACATATCGCGAAATGGTGTTTCTTTCCGCACAAACTGCATTTCTTGCCGAAAGCTGGGCATCGGCGTGGTGCCTGAAATCGGTTGCACTTTCGACATCGCAGACGTGACGCACTTTTTTCACTCTTTTGCATGGCGTCTACTTGTTCTACTGGTGCCGGGTGCTGATCCATCCACATCCTCGCTTGTTGCGACGAATTCTCTGCAGCTTTACAGATTCTCGTTGCTTTCTCAAGGGTCAGGTCATCCTCCCTCAGCAGACGTTCCCGCAGTTTGTGATCTCTGACGCCATCGACAGTCTGATCTCTCACAAGAGAATCTGTCAGGTC